GATAAAACCAATAAAGGTGAACAGCAAAGGGTCATTTTTCATACAGCTGAGCTGTTTGTGGAACTCAGTTCTGAGGAGATCCAAGAGGCAATTAGAAGCTTTGGAAGAGCTAAGCACCAGGTGTTGACAGGGTTCCCATTAAATTATTAAGAGCAGGAGAAGACAAGTTAAGTCAAAGGCTGTACAGAGTAATTCTGTTGATTTCAGAAATTTGAAGAAGTTTTAGAGCAATGGAAGGCAGTTTTCATAAATGGAGTGTAAAAGCTAGTGTGGTGCCTCTCTTTTGATTAGATTCTATAAAGCTCTCTCAGAAAGTTTTATTTTATACATATAGATATATAGATAGATATATAAAGCAGAGACAATCCAGTAAAATCAGTGGAGATTCTTGAAAAAAAGAGTTCTACCAAATATTAAATATTTTAATGATATACTTGTTAAGAATATAATCAGCATGTATACCTAGATTTTTAAGTTTTTAAAAAGCTTATATATCATGGCCTTTGTGATACACTGGAAAGATTTAACGCTTCATATTATTAGAAAGGTAAAATCACTATTGGCAATGAAGAAGATGATGGAGCATGAATTAGGTCTAAAATCTGGCCCATTTATGATAAAGTCGGGATTAAGGCATGGAAATGTACTATACGCAGTATTCTTCAGCATGGTTAAAGTGGTGCAATTACTAACATTTTCAGAATACAATGACCATGAAAATAGCAGAGCACATTGAAGAATCTATGGTATGGACAATTGTGAATGAAGCAGAAGATGTTGCAGAAAGAGTGAACACTTGAGAGAGAAAAATGAACAAATACAGTAAAATTAGACATCTGGCAAACCCGATATTAACCAAAGATGATAGTAAGTTGAGTAACTTATGTATGTATCTCTTACGTGATTCACCAACAATAGGCAAATGATGACCTTGATAGCAGAAATTGAGAGCAAAGTATGTGGCAATAAAAGATTGCTGTTGTTTGAAGAGCTGTAGAGAATGAACCATTTAATATCTGTCAGCAAATGTTTCCTTTTTTTTTTAATTATTCATCAAGTTGTGGTATAGAAGACTGCAACATTTAGCACTATCAAGGATATTAATACTAAATAACTTAATAGCTAAAATACAGCTAGCATTCATAAAGTGACTGCTATTTGTAGTTTATTAAAGAGCTCTGAGTGTTCTCTAAACATTAATTAATTAATCAGTCTTCAATGTTCCTGTGTTATTAGGAAAGTTAATTTTATCATTCCCAAGTATTCAGTTAGGAAACCTAAAGTAGAAAAATGATTTGCCAAATTCCAACCAACTGTTTAGTGGTAGATCAAAATTGTCTACATTAATACATTTAGAAAAATTTTACACTTCCCATGTGGCTTTTTGTGCTATTAGACACAAAATGGTGGCTTGCAGGAACAATAACAGATTTAATTTGTCAGAGGAGACTTTCAGGACACAGATTATTTGGGTAGAGTTCTGTCATAGGAAACATCTGTAGTAGTTACCCCCAAAACTATTTTATGTTCCATAAAAATATTTATTTTTATTTATATTATTTAATTGAATATCTTAAAAGAGCTTTAGGAATTCACTTGAAGAAAAATTGTTTTTCACATTAACCTGTAAAAATCACATCATAACAATGATTTTTGACAAATACTGACCTGGAAAATAATGTAAAAAAATGCTCAGACCTTCAGTGGAATAAGATGATCAAGATATCTTCTAGGTCTGGAGCATGTTAGGAGAGACCCAAGATCTATCATCTCATCAATTTCAGCCCTTTATTCAAATTAATGAATCAAAGAAAACAAAGCACTTCTGAAACTCTCCATGTCCTTCTTTTCTTGCTTATTGCCTAATAAAAAGACTTTTGGAAAAATGCATTTGCTAAAATCGTAACAGGACATAGCTAAGCATTGTTTTAATGATAACATCCAATACAGAAAAGCTAAACAGTTACTAAAGAGTAACAACTCTCTCAAACCTCAAACTCATACCAGCTTTCCTTATTATTATTATAATTAGTTTAGCATTTAAAAACCGTTACAGGAAAATATACTAAAAAATAAAGGACACACAACGATGGAAGGCATGTATGTACTCAGTCTTGGACGTGCTGAAGATACTGACAGCAAATTGTTAAATCCCCCAAATAGTATTATCTATACAGTATGTCAAATAAGGTTTCTGCATCATCACTGATAAGGATAAAGCCATTTGAGGCTTTATCTCTGCAGAATTAACCACTGGCACACACATAGTCACTGTTTCAATTAAATTATTTAGACAATCCACTGCAATATGCGAGAATTTGAGAGGAATCTCAGAAAATATTCTGATTTAGATCAGCCATGAAACCAACTACACAAAACAAGTGAGTGAGTGTGTGTGTGTGTGTGTGTGTGTGTGTGTGTGTGTGTGTGTTTGTGTGTGTGTGTGCGCACACATGCATATGTGTGTGTGCGTGCTTCCTATGTGTTTCAAAGAGTTTTTTTTTTTGGCTGCTCATAATTCCCACCTTTGCTTTCTCAATTCAGAAAGAAGCAAGTTTTGAATGCAACTGAAGTAGTGCAAAAAGAGTTTTGTTTTGTTTTTAACCCAGACACAACTCAGCCCGGGGTCAAGGTCACCATTCTGCTTGAAGGACAGCAAATATTTGGGGGTGACACTAAAATTTCAAGTAAAGATACAGGACTTTGTTCCCATGTTCATTTTTACATCAGAAATATTTGTAGCTATTTGGCCATATGAAATAGAAATATAAGGATACATTTTGGAAGTGAAATAATACTAAATTAGAAGAAATTAAAACAATATATGGCTCTGAATTAAGCAACCACAGATTCTACAAGGTCTGCTTTGACAGCCTTGTTCTGATTAGTTAATACTTAAGCACGTACAGTTGAAAGAAATAGGTGACATTCTGGTCAGCTGTAGACAGGAAGGGGTTTGCTGCTGAAGCCTGTGGAACCAAGACTATTCCAAACATCTAAATTTCCTTAGGTATTCTGTACCATACTGTAGAGACTACCTGAAATAAGCATTGGAAAATTACAGCTTTTTCAGGCAATGCTGCATCCTACAGACTGGAAAATTAAAGTTAATTTATTTAATTTTTTACAGTAACGTCAAGCAATCTGGATAGGACACCTTTGCATAATAGAACGAGAGGGAATGTTAAATACCTTTAACAGAAACTTTTTCTTTATTGTCAAGAAACTGTTCAGATGCTTTTTTAAAAAAAAACTGGTGCTGAAATTAGGTACATAAGGATTTTGTAATTTAGATGACTACTGTCAAAATTATTATGCATGAGAAGTGACTATCTGTTAAAGCGATCCCAAATTGAAATTCTTGCCATCAGGATTCCAGCTCTCTAGGTTAAATTATTTAGAAAATAATTATTGCTGCAGTACACATAAAAAGTCAATATTCAGATGTGAACTTCTCCAAATGTTTCTGATTTGGGAGGACCGAAGGGGGTTCAACCTATAAAGACAGCAATCAGCTAGAAAAATCTTAAAATTAGATGAATCTGAACCTTCCTAGTTAACGGTATCTTCACATCTTAACATTTCTAGAATTGGACTTTAGGTTTTAGATGCAATTTAATTGGGGCAGCATGCAGATAAGTATTTTTTTGTAAGAGAAAATAGCATTATATGACATTTTGAAGACATGCAGTGACTGAAAGCAAGTGTTCTGAAGTCTTATGTATATGTATGTGCTCAAATTATATTTAAGTAGTTTCAGGATTTTATGTAAGTACACATGTTCAGAAAGGAACTGAGGGACTGGTGAATCCATGCTACCATGGATAGTTTACCTCATATTTTGAACAGTAATTCAGAGCTGCTGAATTTCCCTCAGCAGAATCAATAGACTGAGTGGGTGAGGGTGGAATCCTGACAATCAAAATTTCACTAGGGGGTTACTTTCCAGAACAGCATTTAACAGTTTATTTTTCATCCAACATAAATCACATTAGGGTTAAAACAGGCCAGTCAACATTTTCTGACTCTAAGAAAGAGTTCAAAAGTTAATCTTGGAGAACAAGGTTTAACAAAATTGACTTTCTCATGAAGTGATCATAATGTGACAGTTGATAAAACCTCTCATTTGATGTACGGTGGCCATTATTAAAAAGTTAGCATTTGCCAACAACTGACAGCATGTAGTTATCAGGCATACTGTACTATTTTTACACCTTTAAAATAGAAAGCAGCAATAGTTACTCTGAAGCTTTGTTTTGAGACGTGTTGGCAAACTTCTGGTATTTAAACGTGACAATTCTATAAGTATTTCTCTTTGTTTATTTTATTATTGTATGTCTTTAATAATTTTCATGCAATTGGGGACCCCAGGAGAAGAAAGATACATTAGGAAAAAACATTCCTAGAGTGAATGAAAACGCTGAATGCTCCCATGACAAGCATGCTTTTCTTGTAACATTTTTAATTGATAACATAATAAAATGGCTGATAGCTATTTGCCCATCTCAAGTGCTGCAATACCATATTTTAATCCCTTTAACACTTAAATTTGCTTTTCAACTCACGTCAAACTCCTGTTGAGATACAGACGCACATATCCTTTTTTGGATAAGTACAGTCAAAATGACCGCTCTACAAGAATACATGATCTGTCTGTGTATGGAGGTCTCTGGTACATTGGCAAAACGCACAGTGTATACATCTTATGTGAAATGTTTAGGTTGAGGATAATAGAGTTTGGAAAATACTCCAGACAAGCGGTTCTTTCCTTTTCTTAAGCACGTTCATCATATAAACCAATTCTACTGGTTTATTTTCATTTTAGCAGACCAACATTAAAACTGACAGAATGGGTCATTTTCAAAAGACCATTTTTCCAAAATACTAAGCAGCATTGATTGAAAGTTCCCAACAGAAGCTTTAAAAAGGAATTATTTAAGTTTTAAGATATAAGAGACTGAGGTCAGAATAGTCAATAAAAGTCACAAGATTGTGATGGCATTACTTTAGGATAATAATCTTATTTTAAGATATGAAAATACGGAAACAATCATGCCATAAGAAATAATTATACCATAATTCATAAATGCATAATTTATCAAAACAATACAGCAGTCATGGTTAGATGCAACCTAATATTCCTGTATAACATATAACTACATACTGTACAATCGTTCCTTTTTATAGTTATTTGTACATTTAGTCCTCATCCAAATTAAGCTGAGTACTTCTATGTATGAATGGCATTACGAAATAAACACAACTCACAACAGGGCTTTATTACTGCTACTGCACCACCATGGCATGCAAGTAACTATGTAGTCAACTATAAACAGTAAAATGTCATCATCTTCTGGAAATAAAAAACAAATGAAAAATACAGATATAATAGTAAACATCAATTACCTTTTTATATCTTTCATATTTACCAAAAGTCTATTATTACATGAGGCATTTATACCTCTGTATCACTCTCCTTTACCAGTACACAGTGGCAAATTTGGAGCTGAGAAAGTACCCTTTCCAAAAGATCTTATAAAACTACTGGTTTCATATTATCCTGCTGGCAATGTGTAATGCGCAAATTAGACTATGACATGTCTGTTACCTATCCCTTAGAATTCTCTTGATCTTTTGTATTTTCATGAATCGTGAGTAAATAAAAAGATTGAGGGCCATTAAAGCCGTTGGCTAGATTTTCTATTGTGTTGACTAAGCCCCAAAAAGTTTGTAAGACTAATGTCCAATAGAAAGGAAACTCTTTCATTTGCTTTTTGTTGCTCAGTACTGATTGTGTAAAGTCCCATAATGGATGTTGGATTTGAGAACCACTGTTGGAAGCAACTTGGATTTTTAATGCTTATTTATTTCATTTTTGATATGCAGGATAATTCTTTAACTGATGTGAAGCGAGGATGAGATGAATTTCTGCAGCTGGGAGAAAAACACCATCAGAAAATCATACCCTATTATTAAACAAGGGTCAAAGTGCTGAATGGGATTCATTTCTTCTTCTTAGAGGTCAGGACAATTTACAGATACTAGAAAATTTCAATATTGAAGTGGGACCAGGTATATTACTGTAGATTAGCAGTAAGTTAAACTCTCCTTAGATTTGCAGTGTTGGAGATGGCTTTGGAAAAAACAGCAAACTTGTTTGCAGAAGAGGCTTTTCCATGCTCAATCAATTTTCGTAATGAGTTAGCTGGCACGGAAGACTGACATGCACTCTTTGTAAAATATCTCATTCAGAATTAAAAAAAAAAAATCTTACCAATAGATTCATGAAAGCCCACCTATCATTCTGCTGTAGCCCAGATTATATTTCTGAGCCTTTTGCAAGGTGAAAAAAAAACCATGAAATGCTCAAATCAAGCTTTTATATGAAATGATCATTTAAATATTCTGTGTAGTGTTCTCGGCTATACATACCTACTAAATTCAAAAGCTGCCTACCTACTTGAGGCAATGATAAAAGAACACCTAAATCTGGAAAGACATCTTAATGCTGATTACAAGGAAAGAACTGTACAATTCTCATTATTACATTAAGCTATACAAAATGTTCTTTAGTTTTCTGGAATTTACTTAATTTTCAGTTATATAATTTCCTTCTACATTACAAAACAATGTACAGCTTTTCCTAGCTGTTTTCAAGGATTTTTCCTGCTCTGATATGTTCAGAATTAAGCATACTAGGCATTTTATTTCATATTTTGCTGATATCAGAATCCACTGTTTTTTTAAAGCTCATCAAATATACCCACACCTACCATAAGTTTGTTCTGCTTTGGGGTATAGTAGGCTGCTAGTGAGACTGTAACGGAGCACATTACCTCATGCGTTCATTCATAGGTTTGCCTCCATAAAAACTGAGGCTGTAGTATAGCTTTCAATGGAAGCCATTTAAAAAGAAAACATTACAGAATATACAATTGCAGTTTTTGGATCTCAGACACAAGTTCCTTGACGTGTTGAAAGGTGATGTTTTCGATTTCTGACTCCTGAACTCTTATCTTTACAGTCCGCAGGCTTCTGTTGTGAAATGTCTATCAGCGCACTTGCAATTGCAAGACCTGGAAGATAAAGGAAAAACAAAATTAAATGCCCTATTTTTCTGAGAAGACTCCCACAGCAGTGTGAGGGTTCCTTTCAGGTCCAGTTTTTGTACTTTCCCAGAAACCATCAGCCTTACTTCTGAGACAGCTGTCAAGTTCTCACTTCCTAAAATTCTACCTGATAATGGTAAAGAAATGCAGGAAGTAAAAAGTGCAGTTAAGACACTAGACTGGGAATCAGGAGAATTTAGTTCCATTTCAATCTCTTATTGATCAGCTGTGTGACCTTAGCTTCACCTCTCTTTATCACCATTTTCTTGGCTATGTGGATGAGAAGCTCTCTGTGACACAGATTTTCTTGTATTAGATGTTTGTGCATTGCATTTAGAAATGGATGGAGCTATCAAGTCAGAAAATGAAAGAGAAATAGACACCCCAGTTAAGACAAAGTTACACTCTTGAATGTTTCTCTTTGCCTTGCCTCTTTGTATGTGCCTTGCTAACTTTAGAATATGCAAAGATTAGTACTGACACAAATAAAAAGATATACAAATACTCCAGAACGCGTGGACTTGCAAACAAATAGTGAAATATGATGCTATTGGCCCATATAAACTCTAAGCATCGACAACTCACCAAAACTCTTCTCTTTTCCAAATTTTGGTTAAGTTGTTGATATTTCATGACCTGTTGTAATCGTAACAGAGTATTACAGAGGGTGTGGATACATATGCATAAGAAATCAGTAGTTTAAGAACTTACTCTTCCATTTGCTTGTTACTGCATATTTGCTAGAAATTACTGACTTCTGAATTGAAATGTTGTGATTGACAGTATGCTTAACCCATGGTAGTCCTTTGGAATAATTTTTAAACTCCTATAGGTGATTTTGTAAAGAAATGGATTAGGACTGTTCACATCATCCAAATGTTCTGCTCCACCATGACTGCAAAAAAAAAATCGAGCGCGCCGTATCCGCAAAAACATATCTGCATATAGCCATAGTGCAGGCAAAGATGGTACTGGTTCTCCATACACCCCAATACATGTCAGTCTCTCACCAACAACAGTCCTATTCCACAATGAAATCTTTTAAAATATTTGTCTCTATGTTTAACAGACAGTGTATATTTTCTTAACACAAACCAATATCGAACTCACTTTCTCCAGTACAGAATCCAACTTAGGCTATATTTTTCATGCATTCCCTCACTGCAACACTTATCTACTAAGAAACTTTGCAAAAATGTTTTTCAGTTACATGTGTTTCTATAGGCTTCTCCTTGAATATATGATACATTGTCTGATATGATTCAGGTATCCACTGTCCTGGAAACTCTCTGCTAATGCAAACCGTAACATTATCTTTCGTACTTCACAAAAATGCTGCAAGAATTAATTAATGTACATAGAGCTCTTTGAAGATGCACAGCACTACACTGTAAAACACTAAGCACAACTATCATTGCTGCATTTCAAGATATGTAAGAACCAAGATTAATTAAGTCTTTTTTCTCACATAAACACATACATTTCCCAGCATTAGCTAGCAATTCCTTAAATTGGATTTGATAAATGAAATTAAAAGGTATCTTTGAGGCACCTTTAAAAGATCAGCAATATCTTGTATCAGTGAATCCAAGGATAAAAACTAAATAACATTTTGATGCTTGCTTACATGTGATTCTGTCTTTATCAACTAGGCTTAGGAAGTATGCTAAATGGAATATATATTATAAGAAAAACAGATTTTCCAATTTTTTTGTAAGATATTTTAAAAATATGCTTGGGTGCATAATGCTAACCCCACTTTACATAACAATTAACATAAAAGAAGAACTTTTTCCTTCAGCTCTAATGCTGCATACCAGGACATGCTGGCATGCTGTTAGAGTTCCATTAAAACTGGGTCACTCCAGAAGATCATTTTTCAAAATGTCACACAAATCATCTGATGAAATTCATTTATTATGTTCTCTAAGCCCAGAATAGTTCCTTGTTATCAAAGCAATACAATTAACTAGAGGAACAATTCATTATTTCAGATTGGCCGTCTAAAGGAATTTCATTTACCAAGTCAAGCTGATGTACAAACTCTGCAGACAAGCAAAATTTATATCAAAATACAACAGAAGATCTGATAAAAGTGCTGTAGTTTAAATATTCATTGAAAAAAAGGACTTTATTTTATAGTTTCATTACTTCAGAACAAATTTTAATGTGTTCATAGCCATTAAAATTGGAATTGTAAATCCCATAGTACTAGATATCTCTTATGAACTGAGGTTCATAACTTATTTCATTTACCTGCCTTCCCTGAATGCTGCCATTTATATATCCTCTATCTGAACTGTTATTTGCAAACCAGTCCATGATCTCTGGTTGCTTCCGACTCTTGAACAAGGTGGCCATGAGGAAAATTGGAATCTGTAGGCTTCCCACACGGAGAATCAATGGGTCTCCTCTAACAGGCGAATTTCTGGATATTCAAGCCTAGTTGCAGAGCCAGACCTATTTTTAAGTCTAGTTTGCTTTTCTACTAAATGTTATAGAAATAACCTGACCTAGTTCTGCGCAGCTAAAACAATCTCTAGCTTGTTTTATGTATATGTATGGAAAGATCATTAAGAAGCAAGCCCAATCAAATACATATGTGGAAAGTATATTTTTGCAAGAGAGAATTGCATCCACAATGAGAAGAATACCAGAGAAAGCAATATGAATGTGGTTATCTTTAGCAGAACTATTGTCTTTCCTAATGGAAGTTAAATGGTAATAGTTTATTCTCAGGAAGTAACTGCCTAATCATAAAATTACTGGTGTGTGAATTTTTGGTAGTGTTTTTTTGTGAGTTTTTTTTTTTCCCAATTATGCAAAACAATTAATAAGTACAGCAATAAAATACAGTGCATCAAATGAGATTGCCTTGAAAAGTGCATTCCCGATTTATATACAAACAGCACTTTAATTCTGCATTTGAACAAAAGCATCTGAAAAAGTCATTCATTTTGAGATGCTCTCCTCCCAGCCTCTGTAAAAACAGGCAGTACTATATATTTTAATTTTCCAGCAAAACAGCTTCATTAGGCGTGAAAGGTTAATTGCAGGTTTAAGTGCAGTTCAGGGAACACTGCACGGGTCTGTAGTGAATAGCACAGTCTGCTACAGGAAGGCTGAGTGCTATAAACTGTTTGCCCTGCTGAAATGTTTTACTACCTCATTTACTAACTGTCTTCTTTTACTGCTTGTATTTGTAGTTCTTCTAAACCTTTAATAGCCACAGTTTTATTTCACTGTAATCAGATTTAAATGGAAATACCCATGCTGGGATGTTTAAACGTTTTCCCTCTGATTGTACACAGCTACATTTGAACGGATGTAAGGGTACACTATCTCTCAAAGTAGAAAAACCCTAACATTGAAAAAGTTAGTCTTCTATGCTGGCTTGCATATTTAAAGTCGTCTTTCCTATTGTTCATTTTAATGAAAAATTCATTGAGTTCTTACTCTCCCTTTTGTTAAAAGTAAGGGAACAAAGGATGACCTGAGATTCATGGTTAGGCAGGTAACTGGAAACACTTTTCCAATTTAAATATGTGTTATTGGGAGATAACATTTGGATAAACGTCTTCATTTGATTGAATCCTACATGTTTTCGTTGTTATGTGGAATCAGAACATTTAGAATGCTTAAGACAGTAAAATAACTAGAACTTAGGTAGATGAATTCATTTTGTTTGATATTTTAACCAAAATTACAGTCAGTGCTTAAGGTTACCTGGAGCAAAGAATATAAAATGACAGCTTCCATACAAGGAGACTTAAAGCAGAAAAGACTGGGCAAGCTGTATACTATTAAAGTAATAGCTTCACCCTTTAGCACCCAGCAGTATTTGTGTCACTTCCATTTGTTTTTTCTTTAAAGACTCATTACCGTTATCACACATGTTCACCTAATAGTGGACAGAGTCTTTCTATCGTAAAGGATCTGTTATTCAACCTTTCCATTGCAGAAAATGCGATGTCCACTAATATCCGTACAAATGGATCTAAGTAGTTTGAAAAGATACTTAGTGGGTGATGGAAATCACTGGCTCATGAAGATGCCCATAGCACACAGGGAAGACAGTTTCATTCTGATCTCAAGAAAACTACTGGTAATTATGGGGGAATTTTATGAGTTCTGCCATTTATCATTATTTCACATCTACAAAGACCTTTTTTACAAATATACAATGTATATTGTGTGTGTGTGTGTGTGTATTTGCATGTTAACTATATATTTATATACCAAAATACCATGTTAAAAATGCAATCTTTTAATCTGACGAAACAGATCACACTTAGTTCAACCTCTGTGGATACACACCAGGCCAGCATACATTTATTCTTTAATGGAAACATATACTGTAGCTATAGTGGCTATAATGGCAGAGGAACATGCCTTTCAGAAAGGTTACTAGACAAGTGTTTCTGAGTATCCACTAAACAAACTCTCCCACTTACCAGGAGAAATTGCACTAGGAATATTCTTATTCAGCTTAGTAGTTTGGTAAAATTGTCAAGATTCTCTCGTACTTCCCATACTTGTCCTGTTTTCTCATTAACCAAGCACTTTTCAAACAGAGGATAATTGACTGATTTGTGATTAATTTTCATGTCCAGAATGTTGTTTGCGCTAGAGACTCCTGTGCTGTAGAGCAAGTCATTTCTGGAGAAATCCAAAAGGCAGACAAAATGGAACTAGAGCAGAATTCAGGATCTAAAAAAATGAGCCACAAAAATCTTCTCCTAACCAGGTACAAACCTGAAACTCAAGTGCCTGCCTTCCAGAAATAAAAAGAGAGTCATCTGAAGTTCAATACTGTACATGGCAGGAGGTAATACACAGCGGCTGAGCTCTGTTTGAGCTGTATCTCACACTAGAGCTATGTTCACTTCCAAGTTATGGAAGAGTTGAATCCTGTGCCTGTATCTGAAGGTCCTGATCTAGCAGGTGTGCCCAGACAATATCCAGAC